ACTGTACGTAATACACCATTGTGGGAAAAATTGTGAGCAGGTCACTCTATCCTTGCTTGGTCTGTTCAGATGCTGACTGCAGATGAAAAAAAAAAAAAATCCAAGGCTTCTCCTTTCTTAAGGCTTCTTTCTTTTTATATTGGACTGGGACAGGACAGTCCTCTCAGAACTGGAAATAATTAATATTTACATGTGTAAATGAAGACAATAATAACTGATTAGCTGTAGCATCCAGGGAATAACACTGGACCAGTTTGAAAGTTACAATCATAAAAAAATACTGGAAATTTAAAACTGGATCCAATCAGTTTTGTTAGTCGTGGGCAATAGAAAGTAGCCAATAGGGATCCCACTGCCTATTATTATTATTATTATTATTATTATTATTATTATTATTATTATTATTATTATTATTAATGCCTTTTGAAAGTGTTCAAAGTGTTTTGCAGCTTCTGTCCTGTTCACTCTCACAATTTTGCTGTGATCTTTACTATTTCTAATTTACAGTGGAGGAGTTAGCTCAAGGTCACCAAGAGAAATCATGAGCAAGCTGGGATTTTAACCCATTTTTCCCAGTTGCAAGTGCGAGCTCATCTATTTGCCTTGTTAACATTTGTGGCTGCAGACTATTGAAAGAGCACCTCAGAGACCACCATCATCAGACTCTAAAGGAATTAAAAAAAAAAAAACACCAACAGGCAATAAAATGAGGGCATTACCCTCCCAAATAAGAATTTTGCCACTCAATGAAATTTTCTTTCAGTCCCTACATTTCAACTATTGCAGTAACTTTAAACCTCAGTCAGGTATTTAGAAATACAATTTTAGCATCCAAAGAGCAGACCAGGTTGCCAAGGTAATGTGAACCCAGCAATTAGAGGAGTTCTAGAAGTGAATGATCTGCAATGTCTCACTCTCTGCAATACCAGGCACTTGGAGAGTGAACGAAGAATTAATTTGGAAAGCAGAGTTTTTCTTTGGAGGGCAATACTCTCATTTTGCACACACATCCAGTAGCTACACCTGTAATGAAGTAATAAAATTGGCAAGGAGAAAGCTGTATGACAAGGGCAGGCAATCACAAACATGGCAGGGGGCATTTTTCCATCCTGTACTCACCTGGTGGGCTGCAGCAGCGTGTTTCACCATGCCTTAAATCGGGGTAGACAGTCTTTTTGAGCCGGGTTGCTGTCCCTCAGACAATTGGGGGGGGGGGCCCGAAGCACCAAAAATAAATAAATAAAAATAAAAATAAATTAAAAATTGTGTGTGCATACTCTCACAGCCCCAGAAAAGCCATGGCAAAACCCCTGTGGAGATTTTGCCAAGAAAACCCCAAGAACAAGTAATAACAACAATAATCAATATCATCATGGCGGGCAGTGGCGGGCGGTGGCGGCGGCAGGACCGGCCTGGGGCCAGTCCAAAGGCCTCGAGGGGCCGCATCTGGCCCCCTGGGTCTTAGGTTGCCTACTCCTGCCTTAAATGATGTGATGTCAATTCTAGCTGCCATTTTGGCCAACTCTTTATTTTTATCTGTTTTGGTGAGGTGAGAGGGCTCAGGGGAGCAAACTGTTGCCTTTTTTATGTGGTTTTTAGAGATTTAGGGAGAGTTAGGGCAAAAACACCTCCAAATCAGTCTGATTTTTAAAAGATTATTTCTTGTTCTGTGCCTTCAAGTTGTTTTTGACTTATGGTGATCCTAAGGGGTCTATCCTATCATGGGGTTTTCTTGGCAAGATTTGTTCAGAGGTTTGTCATAGCCTTCCCCTGAGGCTGAGTGCATGTGGCTTGCCCAAGGTCACCCAGTGGGTTTCATGGCTAGGCTGGGAATTAAACCCTGGCCTGCAGAGTCACAGTCCAAAACTCAAACTGCTATGCCACAGCTGGCTCTCATATTGTTCTATTAACTAACCATATTAGGATGTTTGTATGTGAGAGAAAGTGCAAGCATTCTGAACCATCATGAGGGCTGTCATGCCAAACCTTTTAAATGTTTTTCATCATGACCAGAAGAACTGGAAATGTAATGCTTTATAAATAGAACAAGCTATTCTCTGGTGCCTGTAATTTGTCAGAGATGTCTGATTTTGTGCTCTCCAGGTGTGCAAGATATATACCTCCCTTGCAGAAAACACACCTTTAAGCTTTTGTACAGTATACATTTGTATACACATTGAGCATGTCAGTGCCATTCTAATTGTCCTGAGAGTGTTCTCATGTGGAAAGAAACAGCTCAGTCTTTGAGTCTGCAAGAGGCCTGCACTCAGAGATAAAGGAGCCGATGTTTTTGAGATCACAAGTCCAGTTTCTTTTCTTCTTTTTCTGACTGGTCCAGCTCAAAAGCAGGTATATACAGAGACAAAGGATTAAGATTTTGGAATGGAAAGTAATTTCCAAATCTTGCCAATCAGGTTGATTATGGCTCCTTTCCAGAGCTCTTGTGTTAGCTCAGTGGGCAGATAGTTCCTACATGAGTTGAAAAGCGGTTCTGCATACAAATCATGAAGTCATCTTTATTCATACAGAGTTTGTGGCTAAGGGATTAACAAGAGTTTCTTTTATTAGTGGATTTTTTTCTCATATTGTATTTATTAAAAACTAGGCATCCAACTTTTTGCTATTTTTCTCTCTCAAAGAAAACAAGTAATTTTAGCAATTTACTTTTCACTGAAAGAAAGTCTTCAAAAACTGCCATTTTCAAAGACTATTCACAGTATGAGCCATATATGGTGCAAAAATAGGACATAACTGTTTTGTACAGAGACAGCATTTTCTGAGCAGAAAATAGCCCCTGCCATCTTGTTCAGTATTTACAATGTCATAACCTGGTCATACAACATTCACATTTACAGTCATTGCACCAACACAATGAGAGACTATGAGTTCCACCTCATTCCCACTATGATTTAAAACAAATTGCTGATTGGGTTATATGTCTGCCTTTCCCACTTGAAACCAATTACAAACTGACTGCACTCAGTTTCAATCGAGATGAAGTGAGGCAAATGCAAAAGAACCGCTCTTTCCTGACACTAGTTTTTTGGTGGTTCTTTTGAAAAGAAGCAATTAGCAAGCCTGTTCAGCAAGTGGAAATAAAGGACCTGAATCCCATCAAACTGAAGGGAAGGGATTACTGTAGAAAAGGTTGGCACATCCCTCACCAGTTTTTTGGGAAATCCACCATTTCCTCCCCTCCAAGTCCTGCAAGGCTGGAAAAGCAGCATCTCACCCAAGGGAGAGTCCTCCATATGAAAAGCATGGCCAAGGCATCCCATGGGAGAGTCCTCTATATGGCACCTATGGCTGAGGCATATCAGGGGAGAGTCTTCCATATGACACCCATGGCTGAGGCATCCCAGGGGAGAGTCCTCCATATGACAACCATGGCTGAGGCATTCCAGGGGACTTGTAGGATATGGGGAGTTGAAGTGGTGCCCTCCCAGCCTTGCAGAACTTGGAGGACATGCTTCCTTGTGAAGCTCAGAATGGAGGGTGTTTTGGAATTCCTCCTGGACAGAAGGTTGGAATGTAGGATGGGTCTTGGGAAAGGGGAGGGGGGAACTAGTGAGGGATGGGATACAAGTGATGGGTGGGATTTTGGCCATGGCACCCATGACTTCCTCTTCGTGTTTTCTTGAATGCGTTGCCAGTCACATCACCGATGATGCATAGGTGATTGACAGGCATTTTGAAGGGCCACAAACTAGTGGGAATGACAATCGTGCCAGAAAAGAAGCGAATAAAGAAAAAACCTGCTTCCATAGTGGGAACGACACATGGACCGGAATTGATTCACCAACCCAGAGTGAAAGCGAATTGCAAACAGGGTTAAATGTAAGTGGGAATGAACCCTTAGAGGGCATGCCGCTGTACCAGCATAGGGGTTTTCAAGGTACTGGGCAGTGAGTGAAATAGTGTCCATCTGTGTCTTGGAAAATACGTGCTTTATAAGAACCAGTTGTGAGAAAACCACACAAGGGTCCCTATGACTGCCTCTTGTAAAACATCTTGCCTCCAAGAGAAAGCTGGAAACTTCCTCACTCACTGCCATGTTTACCAGAGCCTCAGAAATGTCTATACTGGTGCAGCTCTCAGGCTTTTAAGGTGCATTTTTTGTGAGGAGTGTCATCAGGAGCAATCTCTCTAATCATAGCTACATCTTCTGATGCAAGATCTTGGCTCCTTTTTTTCTTCACAGAATATGCTGCATGGAGTAGGAAAATTGCTGTTTTCTGCACAAAACAACCATGTGCAAAATGTGCATAGAATAAGTCCTGAACTGCAAAGATTCTCATCATTCCAGGATTACTCTCATCAGGTTTTCTCAACACTAAATTTAGCCAACTAGAAGTAGTGGGGGGACACTTGTGGAGGATCTCTCAGACAATGGCAGTGGCACCATAACTAACACTTGTTAGTACTGTGCAGAAAGAGGCACAATAAACTCTTTTGAATGTCTTTTATTAGGAAAACCCTATGATGAGACAATCCAAAATGAAAGAAAAGACAGTACCAGAAGGTGAGACTCCCAGGTTGGAAGGTACTCAATGAGATACTGGAGTTCAGCAGAGGACAACTACAAATAGCACTGTGGGTAATAATGCAAATGGACTCAATCTGAAAGGATGTTCAGCTGTTGATGTGCTCAGAAGTGAAAAGAAATTCTGAAGCTGTACAACTCATATTATAGGAACATAGAATGTGAGAAGCGTGAATCAGGGGAAGCTAGATGGATGAGTTTATTGCACATCGTTCTCGGAACGTGCTGAGAACCCGATGAGAACAGAACAGAACTCAGTTTATCGCACGGTATGATTCCCTTCGCCTTCCCGTTCCGTTCTGTAACTGTCCCTTCCCAGTTCCAAGGCGAACTGTTTCAAAGTACTCTCAGCCTGGAAGAATGGTCTCAGATCGTTCCAGGGGATGTGTGTGCGATAATCCTACCGTTCTCCATCAGGTCTCAATCAGTCCTAGTGTTGGTCGCCTAGTGGGTTTTGTGGCCGATCGGGGATTCGAACCCTGGTCTCCAGAGTCGTAGTCCAACGCGCAACTACTACACCCACCTGGCCTTCTTAGGTAGGTCTACTCATAAGTAATCCCCACAGTGCCCAACGGCTCTTCCGCCTAAGCTTGTTCACAGCTGAAGTAGATCATTCGATTTGATATCTGGTGACCCCAAACCAAGGAGAAGCCTGCCTTTGGCTGCATCCGCATTGCAGAAATAATCTGGGTTTGGTACCACTGTAACTGCCAAGGCTCCTTCCTTCCTTCCTTTCTCTTCCTTCCTTCCTTTAGGGATCCAAAACACACTGCCGAAAAAAATCCAGTTCGAGACTGCTTTAACTGCCCTGGCTCAATGCTAGGGAATCCTGGGAATTGTAGCTTATTGTGGCACCAGAGCGCTCGGACAGAGAAGGTTCAGTGTCTCCCAAAAGTACAGTTAAAGCTGTCTCCAGGCTGGATTATTTCTGCAGTGTGTTTTGAACCTAGGATCTTTAGTGGATCATGTTGGCGGCGGATGAGAAGGCATTTTACAAGACTGGGCCCATTGCTTTTCTAGGGAAACCAATCCCATTGACTTCGATGGGGCTTCCTCCTTTCTCCAGCCATGCATTTAGGACAGGATGCAATGGGAGAAGGAGGGATTTTTAATAGGATTGGATGCTAATGTTAGTTAAAACCAGTGTGTGTGTATGCAGCTTTTTCTTGAAGGTATGTTCAATAAATGTAGCCATACATTACAGCACTGGAAATAAATGAATATAAGAAAGAAAGAGAGAGAGAAAGAAAGTTTTTCTGTCCTTAAAAGAAGTGGGAACAGAGGGGCTAAGGAACTGCTTTGGCGCTGGTTACTGTGCGATAATCTGTGTGCTGAGAACGTTACCATCACGTTCTCAATTGTAAGACCCCTTCCCATATCGTTCCGTTCCAGGGACTCGATGGGAACGTTCCAGGGACTAGTGCAATAAACTCCATAGTAAAGCAAGAAATGGAACAGATAAACTTTGCAATACTTGGGGGTGCATGTTTCACTCTGGAAATGGAACTCTAAAAAGAAATTGGGTAGCCATGTGGACCCAGAATGGACTAGGACTTTACTATTTGAGGTCTCTACCTCCAACAAGCTAAAACATTTTCTTTTAAAATTGTGACTACATTTGGCATGTTTTACTAAAACAATACCTAAAAATTTATTAATGCAAAACATAGAGGCTTCCCTTGAGAGATTCAGTGTTCCCTACCAAACAAAGGACTTTATCACACGGGGAAAAGCCCATGCAGAAACTGGATTTAAATAGAAAAAACCCCGACATGACGTCGATGTTAAACTGTGCTTAACCAAATGGAAAGTAGTCAAAAGCCACTTCTTTTTACTTTCAGAAAATCCCAAAAGTGGGCTGTGACTTCAAAAGGGATGGAGGCATCTTGGATCTCAGAAGAAGTGCCTTTTTGCGTTGCTAATAGCATTGAGATTTTATCTCTTGGACTTTGGAATACTTTGTTCCAGTACTACATGACCAGGAGGAGGGGCCTACTTGCGTAGATATCCCTCCACTCTATCTCAACAGAGAACAACATACCAATAACACCTTGATAATATGCAGGCCTGTGACTAACATCCTTATTTCTTGTTTTCCTCCTCTATTATTTTTTAACACCTTTGCCTGATAAAGAAACTAGTGGAGCTTCAAAAGCTTGCATCATGCATTTTGTGCATTTTGGTTGACTAAGGGGGGAAGCACACGAGGGCGTCTGAGACGCCGTGGGACGGTGCGCTGCGGGACCGCGGCATCCGCACCACGGTGCACCATCGGCGCCTCTGAAAGGAGCACTAAATCAGCGCTCCTTTCAGAAGTCAGTGAAAGTGTGCCCTAAAAGCGTAGGGCGCACTTTCCCTGACTTTTCTGCCGCAGCGTGTGCGGACGCTGCGGCGGGAGGTTGCCCTCGGAGCGCCGGCCGTGCGGAGGGCCGGCAGCTCCGAGGGCAACCTCGGGAGGAGGAAGGGGCACCGATCGTGCGGCTGCCCCTCCTCTTCCCTGCCTCCAGGACGACTCTATTAGTCGTCTGCTGAGGCCCTAAATAAAGGTATCACTGTTTTGTGGATTTCAGATGTTATTGTACTTGGCTATATGGCCAACATGGCTACCCCAGGATATGTTTCCTGGATGAGAAGGTATGACTCACTAGAAAAGACAATAATATTTTGAAAAATAGAAGGCAGTAAGAAAAGTGGAAGACCACATTCCAGATGGATAGACACCATCAAGGAAGCCACGGCCCTGAGTCTGCAAGACATGAGCAGGGCTGTTAAAGATAGGGTGACTTTGAGGTCTCTCATTCACAGGGTTGAAGTTGATTTGGTGGCAGTTAAGAACAACAAACCTTTATAACGTAACATTTTAGCCAATGTCTATTTTGTAAGCTTCCTTGGGACCTTTGGTATAAGAGGTATACATTAAATAAATACATCAATACATCCAAGCTCAGTCTTAATTATTAAAAGAATGGTTTACTATGAAAATAAATACCTGCATATTTAATCCTGACTCTGTTGAATTAGGTTGCCACATTTTTTTTTTTTCTGAGAGGGTCCTGCATAACTGCACAGCAGGTAGGAAAAAATTGCCCTCTCCTTTGGTCTATACAAATGGTGTTAAATTTTGGTTCAGTCCCTTTTCTAAAGAATTTACCAAAAGTTGCAAAATTGTACATTTCTGGGGTGGAAAGATCTAGATATATTAATTATTTAAATATAAAGCAATACCTCTCCTCCAGGCTGGCTTATATCACTGTCTGTAAACCCTCTTCCTATTGAAGTTTCTTCTTCTGGAACTGTACATCAATAATATAATGAATTCTATGTTTTTCAAAAGAAAGACTTCCTTGATTCTCATAGATTTTTCTTGGTGTAAAATGTATACTAACCTCTTCAAATATAATATACATCAAGGGAAATTTACCAAAATAAAGGAAGTATTTCTTTTGAAAACGTGCACTTCATTATAACACAGTATATGCTACAAATTCAGGAAGCAGAAGGTGAATCTATTCTTAATTAGCTGGATATTAGTTTTTCTGAGAGCCTGCTTCCACCAACACCAACAACAGCTGCATATGAATTTATAATTTATTTAGGGCCCTGCATATAAGTGAATCTGATTGTACTCTCCTCAGCTTAGAAGGGAAAACATATGTTTGTAAATTTTCCTCAAATTGACTCTAATTTTCACTGTATATTTAATATTATTATTCCTTCTTTGCTTCTTGAATGTAGAAAGGTTGTAATAACTTTGATCATAGTTTAATGACTGGAAAGACAGTAAGCTTATTGGCATGCAATTTTTGCATTGTTTTCTTGTTTTATAAAGAAGGCAGACCATCTGGAGGTGGAAAAATGTCTTTTTCTTATGTTAAATGAACATGACGATATATTAATCACTTTAACCATGTAGTTATTATACCTCCACACAAATGTGCTTCTAAAACTGTATGTTTTATTTCTCTCTATATGTATGTGCCTTCAAATCACCTGTCAATTTATGGTGACCTCGTGAATTTCATAGGATTTTCTTAGGCAAGGAATACACAGAGATGGTTTTACCAGTTCCTTCCCCTGTAACAGAACCTGCAGCACCAGTATTCTTTGGTGGTGTCACATCCAAGTATTAACCAGGGCTGACACTGCTTAACATTCAAGATCAGACAGGAACTGGTGTCTTTTATTTCTACAGACAATTAAAATACATAAAATATAGGTTGAATCCACAATGCAGAATTAAAGCAGTTTAACATCACTTTAACAGCCATGACTATCCTACAAAATTCTGGGATTTGTAGGCAGCAGAGCTCTCTGTCAGATTAGGCTGAATGCCTCTTCAAACTACAAATCCAAGGATTCTGTAGGATAAAGTGATGCCAAATTTATAAACATAGCAGGAAGCTGCATTTAGGAAATGTGTGTTAAAATAGCTGGCTTATAAATATATAATATGCTTATAAACTGATTATCATTGAAAAATTACATCAGATTAATGGAGTTATCTATGTCTTTCTGTCTCTGGCATGCAAAATAGTTCATTAAGTAGTGCATGACTAGCAAATAAGGGCATATCATTAAAGCTGAGGTATAGCAAGTTGCTAGTTGGAGAGTTAGTGCTCTTCAGAAAAGGAAAGAGGCAATCCAAAATGGGGAACCAATTTTTGAAAGAGGCTGCAAATTAAGTTTTGGAACTGGCCTATGCAGTGGCCCTCTGCATCCATGGCTTGAAAATATTAAAAAATAATATAAATTCCAAAAGAAACCTTGTTTTTGTCATTTTATATAGAGGGCACCATTACACTGTTATGAGAAATGCTGTAAAAAAAAAACATGGATTGTTTCCTATAGTTCTGGGTGTGTAGATTCTCTGATATGACTCTTAAGCAGAAATGCTGACTTTGCCATTGATTTGAAGCGAGACCATCACATAGGACCTTATCCCACGGGGCCAAAAGCAGCAAGAATCCACTAAGAATCAGGCGCTATAGCGCTATACATTCCCGGGTGATCACACAACGTCGCTCAGAATCGGCTAAGAATCAGGCGCTATAGCGCTATAGTTTTCCGGGTGATCACACGACGTCGCTCAGAATCCGCTAAGAATCAGGCGCTATAGCGCTATAGTTTTCCGGGTGATTACACGACGTCGCTCAGAATCCAACAAGAAACCGCTCGGAATGCAGCATCATTCGGGTTCTTTTGAATGTCGGTTTCAGCGGGCATTGCAATAGCGCTAGCTTATCCATAGCGCTATTATAGCGCTAGCGCCATATTTATACTAGCGCTATAGTACTGCAATGATGCTCATATCGCTTTCTTGCCACTTTTGAGAGCAGCGTGGGATAAGGTCCATAGGCACAGCCAACTTGCAGATCAAAGCATCTAGTTTGGGAAGTTGCAAACAGCGAAGATTCACACCTTAAAGAAAATTACTACAATGACTAATGCAGAGAAATAGAAGAAAACAACAAAAAGGGAAGAACAAAAGATCTATTTTAGAAGATCCAGAAAATCAAAGGAAAATTCAAA